CGACCACTTTCTGACCAAGAAAAAACAGATTATCAGGTATCCATTTTGATAATTGGAGCCCATTTATTGATGGCGGGTAGGATATTATAGACGGTCCTGTAATATGAGTTCCCATCCATAACTGAACAAAAGAAAATTTAAAACAATGAAAATAATAATTTACTTCTGCGTATGGTTCTTGTTCGCTGAGAAAGAATGAAGGATCTTTTAATTTTAATCTTGCCACTTCACTCGCGGATCCATACTTGCCGCATGCAGCGTATTTTTGTACAGCACAAGAGAGCTCTAGGACTCCTGCCACAAAACATAAAATAAAAAAAATAAAATAAATAAACAAACTCCTGCCATAAAACATTTGATGTGCTGAATGCATAGTGGAGTGTCATACTTGTATAGCACATAAAAATAAAATGACATGGTGAAATGTGCTATTGAAGAAAGGCTCATTCACATATGTACCATCCAATAGAAAGAGGTGAAACAGCTTCTCAAGCTTCAATTTTTACAAATTTTTGAAAACAAAATACACATACTTTTATTAATTATAAACCATAATTTTACCTCTATACTCCTTTAGTACTTGCAGTACACGAGGAAAATTATAAGCCAACTCAATTGCAGTATTGCCAGTCTATATAAGGGAAACATTAATATTGATTTATTCATAATAATTTCAAAAGGAGCTATGCACGTTGATGAATGGGAAAGCACTTTCCTTTGACTACTATATAGCGCAAAATTTTCAAGGGCTATAAATTTTTGCAATTTTTGAAGATTCACGAAAATCAAATTATTATGGTACAAAATGGGCAGATGGCATAAATTCACAAAAATTAAATTCAGAAAATAGATTTTTAGGCAAATTCGCGAAATTTACAGCCCTCAAAAATTTTGCACTATATGGCATTACATTGTATATAAAAGTTTGCAATGATACACTTTTGAATCTTTCAAGATGTATCATTTAAATTCTACAGTTATCAAAACTTACATTATCAGTAATAGTATAATCTGCCCCTTCACTTAACAGTGCTCTCACTGACTCTTTGTGTCCAAACCTTGCAGCCAACATAACAGGAGTCTGCCCAAGCTATATGAATGATATAAATTTTAACAATAAATTAGTTGGAGTGTTAAAATCTTGAGTATATGTTGTGACAAAACAAAGTTGGTTTTAAAAACACAAGCAAGTACTCCATTACATCAAATTATTAATGTCAGCATAACTGATTGTAAAATTTTCAATGCAGAGTATAAGGTACATGTGCAACTTACCTTGTCTCCACAATTCTTATCAGCGTTTTCTTTGATCAGGAAGGAAATTGACTGAACCTTGTTCCTAGAAGCTGCTACATGCAATGGTGTCCAGTTACCCTAATAATAAGTAATAGCATGAATGTGTGATTGTGTTAATCCACTTAGTTACCACATTGGGATTGTTCCAATTAATATCTGCTCCCCTGGATAGGGCAAGCTTCATTCCCTCTATAATCCCATCCCTAGCAGCATTGTATAATTGCTTTCCCTAAAGTAAGTAAAAATATAGCATTGTCCATATAATCATAGTCGGCATGGTTACACCCAGACTATAGCATTATAGTAAACTACATGTAGGAGAAATAGGATATCATTGACAAATAGGGGGATCAAAAGCCTAAAGGCCCCTATACACCAGGCAATGCTATTTGAGGCAATTTGTGGTTACTTTGATCTTCAGGCAACACTGTTGCCTAGAATTGAAACATGCTCTATTCTAGGCAACACACTGCTTACAACATCAAAGTAACCACAGATTGCAAGTAATAGAATTGCCTGATGTATAGTGGCCTTGACAGAGTTACGATTATTTTATTGACAAATGAAAAGCAATAGCCTTGCTGGATATTTGATCTATTTCAATTAAAATTAAATTTTGGCAATTCATCACTTGTGCCAGCCAACTGTGGTGGTAAAAGATAGACAAGTAAAGAAAATGCATGCAGAAACTAAATATGTGTTTATCAAAAACTATTTTATTAATTATTATTGTCATTTTATAAAGCAATAACACTCAACATTTTTGACCACATAATCAGTTCACATTCATTTTAATTTCACTGAGTATTGTACTAATACATCCCTCCACTTATAGGCTAGCATCTGGTCTCAGTACTGAATCATTGCAAGCATCTGGTTAGACCATTTCTATCTTTGGGAGCTAGGAAGCCTGTACATAGTAGTCTTGCTAGTAGGGCGGCCTGACATGCATCATGGACAATTAGTTCACTTAATTGTACATGTAGATCTACTGCATTCGGCTTTGAAAACTTGCATTGCCAACCCACATCATTTTGTTTTTTTTTTCATGGAATTATACACGCATTAATACAGGTCATAATAACTCATAATTTCATGAAAATAGCAAACCACAATAAATACTGAGCTTCCCACTCCACACACAATTCACAACTCCACGTGGAAAGGTATAAGTTATTGCAAATAAAAAGAAAATAATCTATTTATTGGTTTAAAACTCACAGGAGTCAAACTATCCGTCATTTCTAGTACCCAAACGAGCTACTAAACTTCTACAGAGTTCTTGAGGTTTCTTAGCTCACGTGATGCCCTACACGTACCTTAATCTTGCTGACATCAATCATCTTGCATTAGATTTAATAGTAAAGTATAATTAAAATGAACTATAATATATTTACCTCTATCACTGTTAATGAACAACTGTTGTAAGATAAAGATACAGTTCAATTCAGCAATTCCAATATAAAGGATCACAAGTTGCAAAAGGGAGTGGCTCAATACAAGCCCCGCCCCTCCTTGATTAAAATTGATTTTGTCCAATTCTTCGCCATAGAAAAGACACTGAGAGGACATTGATGTCTATGCTGTCAAAATTAGGAAAAATGAGAAATTAAAAATAATATTAATCTAAAGAAGTAAGGGATAGTACAGACACTAAGCTACATGATATTAGTGATTTATTATATTTAATACTTTGTTTGTCCGGCATTGAATAAAGTTTTTTATGGAAGGGCATGTTGTAACAATCAAGTTTTGACCATATTGCACTCCCACCCCCTGAAAGGAATCTGTTATAGTACTGGGTACAGTAGGGCCCCTTTTTTCGAGGGCTATAAATTTAGTGGATATATAATTTGCTGTATTAATTTTTGAATTTTCCACACCCATGTATAATTAATTCGAGGAATTTATTTTTGCGAATAGCAACAAAATCCGTGAACTATATAGCCCTCAAAAAAGGCTCCCTATAGTTTGTTCATTGTACTTCATCAAAGCCGTATTCTTCATTTTTATTTCATTTCCTCATTTTTCTGATGGATAGATGCATGTTCTTATATGTTATATATTGTATGTTATGTTCTTATGCGTGTTTAATGTATTTTAAATGACATTAATTGTAAAATTGTAATTGTAAATGTGTACAATAATGTACAGTACTTTGTGTGTTTAAATTTACACTGTTATATATTCTACAGTTGATGAATACTGTACTGAAGGTAAAGCTCTGTGGTCAGTATCTGATGATGGACAATTAAGAATATTTGACATTAGAAATAAAACAATGGTAAGAAGAAGGAATGAGAGAAAAGAGGAGAGAGCATACATGTAATTCATTGTACAATCAAAATCGGATTTTTACAAATTTCCCTGTACTATAGTATAGGGCCATTGGCCAAATTTTGCTAAAAATGAAATGAAGAAAGTTCTCCATTTTTATTACATTTCCTGATGCATATACATGTACTTATGATGTGTAGAAAGTTTGAGCTGATTCCAATTAAATTTTGAATTTTTACAAATTTTTGAAGTTGGTCAAAAATTAGGCCAAAGTCCCTGTACTATAGTACAGGGTCATTGGCCAAATTTTGCCAAGAATGAAAACGAGAGAATTCCCCATTTTATGACATTTCCTGATGCATATACATGTACTTATCTTGTGTGAAAAGTTTGATCTGATTCCAATTAAATTTTGGATTTTTAAGAATTTTTTAAGTTACTCAAAAATCAGGCAAAAGTACCTGTACTATAGTACAGTCATTGGCCAAATCTTGCTGAAAATGAAAAGGAGAGAATTTTTTATTTTTACAATTTTTATCTGATGCATATACGTGTACATGTTATCAATAATTACATGATTATCTTCATGTGTGATAAGTGTGTCCATTATATTAATTGATAGATCAGTAATTATGTTCATAATAATCCTACTCCTTTAATGAGAGGAGTCACCATTGATAGTGAAGATAAACTGATCATTGGAAATGAAAATGGAGAACTGATACTACTGGACTTAAGACATATCAAGTAAGAGGAAGAGAGAGAGAGAGGGAGAGGGAGGGAGGGAGGGAGGGAGAGAGGGAGAGGTCCAGTGGATAATGCTTCCAGTGAACTGTATTGTATGTTTATACAGGTCACCATTAAAGACAATAAGATTATTATCATCACCAATATGTTCACTGTGTTATAATAATAATAAAGTATTAGTAGGACACAGTAAGTGGCACACTCCCTTCTTTTCTTCTCTAAGTTCTCTTATATTTTATTTTATTGTTTCTTATTTTTACTGCAGAGAATGGGGTGTGCATTAATTGGAGTTATAATGACGACACATTACTCAATGATCATATAACTGGTACTGATATTGATCCAATAAGTTCAATAGTGAGAAGACATCATGTGACATACACTAGTTCTAGGGATGGACGTGTACGTATGTATGAGAACATTTAAGGAATAAATTAATTATTTATGTGATATTATAATTACTATCAAACATGTACTATTGATTGTGATTTGTGTTGCTGTTACTGATCAATGCTTTCTTTGTATCATAAAGAATATTGCTCAGATGTGTATTATGGATGCTTTACTTTAAAAATAAATGATAATTAAGTTACACCCAAATTTATTGATCACTTTCTGACCAAGAAAAGATGGCCTGGTTATCATGTATCCAAATTAAGATCACTTGCTTATGGTAGAAGATGGGTAGGATCATAGATATGGCAAGATATTGTAGAGGGTCCTGAACAAAAGAATATAAATTTAAAATAATGAAAAGAATTTACTTCAGCGTATGGTTCTTGTCGGAAAATGAAGAATCTTTCACAAAATAATATTATAAACCCTACTCCCCAAACTAACCTCCAATCTATCAGCCCAAAATTTGGAATGGATGTGGTTTAACATGTGTTTTCACGTGTATGGTCTGTCATTTTTAGAGTTTTGCTTACCATATTCAGTTGATTAATTGATGTTCATCAATCACCCAACAACAGCTTATTGATCAGATTAACAGAGTTAAAACTCACAACAAAATGCAGTCTTTGTGTCAAAAGGACAAATTGCCCATAGATATTAGAGAATTGCCCATAGATATTAGAGAATTGCCCATGCATTTTTGATCGTTATGTCAAATGCTATTAACTAAGTAGATGGCATCATGTCATTCTGTGTCTATTATTACTCTTGATATTATAAGCTACTTGTATGGAATTGCATTGAAACTTTGTTACAACTTTATTACAATAATATCATTGCATGGTGAGTCATAGTACAAGAGTCATGCTTCAAACTATCACTATTGGCACCTTTTTGTCAATCAATGTCTTCTTTTGATATTTAAGGACTTCTTTTAAGAGAGGAGGAGTAGGGTATCCAGCAAAAATCTCCATATATTCAAGTGATGAATGAATAAAGGCAGTTTTGTACAAATGTTCTAATAGTTCTTTCCAGTGAGGCTGCATTACCTGACTATTGATATCTCCACACCCAAACTTCAGTAGTCTAATTGTTGTATGTGCCTGTAGCATGTTGGTAAAGGCAGGAACTATCTGTTCAAAAAACACAGGTCTCTTTATTCGAAGGGCCTCTTTCCAATTACATGACCAACCTAATTTGAAGTTCACTTCAAATTCTGTAAGATTCTTTTTTTGAGAGATGACATTAATAAAAGTTCTTATTTCTTCATTGAATGGAATTGGTATAGCATACAGTTTCAACTGCTGTAAACTACTGTTGTGTCTGAGACCACTAGTTACAAAGGTCAGGAATGAATTGGAAATGTCATTATTAATCTCAAGGTATTTTAGTGTTTGGTTTTGTGCCATCATGTCTTGTAGACTAGTACCAATACTGCTGCTATATATGTTCTCCTTTATCTCCACACTCAGAGCTTTAAGTGTAGTATTGCTTTGTAGAATAGTAAATAGTTTAATAGCACTCTCAGATTTGTCTAGTGGTAAAGTAAGTGTAGATAGACTGGGATGAAACAGAAATAGAAGATGTGGTGGATATGGTTCATGTAGTATCAGACAATTTAGTAGTCATCTGGTAGGTGGAAGGAGCGATTCCATTAGTTCATAATTTGATTGGCCAATCTCTAGAGCAGTCAGTGGGGTGTTCACTTCTAGTATATAGTAAGTCAGACGTGATTGCAGGAGTACATCAGGTATGTTCAGCGAAAGAGCTTGTATTGTGGTGTTGTCCTTTAGTAGCTGCTCTATTAATCCATCTAGTAAAGTAAGACGATGTGCAAAAACATCAATATCTAGTGAAAATGATTTTATTGTTTTATTTTGCGATACTCCTTTCATGACACTGATAATGACTTCTCTTCTTTCACCCCCTCCAAGCTTCATTTCTTGTAGTACTGAATTCATTTCTATACACTTCTCAAGTTCAGTGCACTTGTCTGTGCAGCTACTGTCAACTGCAGAACGACCCATTATTAAGTGCAGTACTTTCAATTGAGGAAGCTTGAGGAACTGTATCAATACAATATATTGACATACAGTTGATGTGCAGTAGCATTCCTGAATATTGTAAAAAAGAGATTGTTGTAGTAAATTGTTTAATAATTCAATACTAGGTTCGTATAATTCTACTTCCAGTCTTTTACACTGGCTTTGTAGTGATTTATTCATTAGTTCAGTAAAGACGGTTAATGACTGGTTACGAACTTTCCCCAGGTGCAAGTGATTCCATGTAATATTGATATTATTAATACAATAACTGAGACATAACCAGTCGAACAATGATAAATCTACCATATTGAGACACAGTGAGTGGTTGTTAATGGATTGTGCTAATACTTGACATAATGTTGTGTTCTGTGATTCATACAGGAGTTGAAAAAGAAGATTGGGAATGTTGTCAAAATCATCAGAACTGATGTGTCTTTTCTGTGGAATCTCAGGATTCTGATGAAAATAGGAGAGATGACAAGTCTCAAAATGAAACAATGGTTCCCTCTTACACTGTAAGTCAAGTAGTTGTTTGTTAAAATACTGTTGATAGCTCTCATGTTCAAGGTGAGTTAGTCCTGCCACAAACCTCAGACACATTCGAAAGTGATCATCATCAAAGTGATCCTTAAACACTTCCTCTGTCTTCTCCTCATGCTTAGCTATCCACCATGCAGCTAGAAATTCCTGTATACTCAAGTGAAGGAACTGATACTTTTCCTCATCATAATCCATGAATGTTGTGATTAATCCAAGATAGTCTTCCTTGACTGCGTCACTCAGTGACTGTAGTTGATGTGAAGAGAATGTCATTCTTGTATTAGCCAGGTTAGTATAAGCTAATTTACACATCTCTTGTAAAGGTTTAGCTAATTGTGATGGTAATGAAGAAAGACTACCTAAAGTACGTGGGTTAATGTCATGTCTTTTAAAATGTCTTCTGATGGTTTGTAGAATAAAGTTCTCATACAGTTCAGTGAGTGTTTTTGGTAAGTGTCCTCCTTCCTTACAATAAACTAAGATGACCATGGAACAGACTAGTGGTACGTAACACAATGATTGGACATCATTTCGTAACTCAAGATCATTAATAAGTTTTACTGCTAGTTTTGAGTCCTTGCAAGCTTGAGTAGTTGTAAAAAAAGATTTATATTTTCTTTTTGATATTAATTCTTTTTCGGTGTTTTCATTAATGATTTCTTGTGCTAGTTTTGGATCTTTTTGAAGTGTTTGTATAATTACTGTTGATATTTCATCCTCAGAAAATCCAATGACCTGAACATGTCTACTGAGATTATCCAACTCTAAAAGTGAAAAGGAGGCATAGCTACGAGAGGTAACAATTACTGAGCATTGGTCTAATTGGTCTTTACAAATGATACTAGCAGCTAATGAAGACTGCCTGAGTTGTTCACTTAGTTCATCCCAACCATCAAAGATTATCAGTAATCCTTCTCCATTCCTCTTCTCAAACCATTCAGCTACCATGGGAACTTCATAACGTTGACGCACAAACAGTTCAGCTAGTGTAGTAGCTGTAGCTATCTTGCTATTCCTTAAAGGACAGTAAAGTACCAAGTTATACTGTTGATGTGGAAGTGGTCCATTGGACCACATATTTAAAAGTTTACGACAGAGTGTTGTCTTGCCAATACCAGGAGGGCCATCTATTACTATCCTGAGAGACAGAGAGCTATCTGTGGGTTGAAGGACATCTTCAACACTTATCTCTTTGTTTTCAGTTAGTTTAACTGTTTTATCAACTTGTCCTCTTAGCATATGCCAAGCTGATTCTGCTTGTGTGCTAGAGTCTTGTTTTTCTATAAGTGCTAGTCTTCCAAAGAAGTTTTTTTCAATTCTTGGAGGCCAGTCTGTAGCAACAATAGGTTGGTGTTTGTAGTGTTGTTTCATGTTGTCAGCATATCCTTGAACATCATCAGGTATTGAAGCAATTTTAGCTACATCAGACAGACCTGCTTATCGAAATACATGCATGTAAAAATTCACATTAAATTATCTTATTAGATTTACCTCTTCTATTGGTAACTGGTGCTTTGGATTCATCATGAAGTGGTGATGGTAGTGCAGTATGTGAACTGACATTAACAAGGTCAAGCTGACCTAATGTATTGAGATAGTGAATATTGATCACTGATAATGTACACAGCCTGCACACTCACCTAACTGGTGTAATATAGAGGTAGCAATATCTGTTAGTATACAATGTTGTTGGTTTATTAATATATGGCATACGTCAGTTAGGAACTGTTCAGGAGTAGAAGAAGCTTCTAGCTGTCTTTGTAGTACAGACATTAGTTGTCCGGATTTAACAATATCAGATATTGCATTTGCTGTTTGAATATGATTAACAGTTTCCATTGGTATTAGTCCTTTAGCATACAGTCCATTTGTTACTCTGTGAAGATTGTTAGCAATAGCATCAACAAGAGTAGCATAATTCATCCTTAATAAAGCACTAGGAGTATTGCCTGCAGTATAGTATTTATGCAGATAATGAATTCATTCAATTGTTCATGTTTACCTGTTATAGGACCAGGATTGCATTCAACATCTCCTGATAAGAGGAGGAGCATATGTAGACAAACAATCAAATAGAGATCATTGTAAATCAGGTTAGAACTGCTGCCTCCAGGTAAGACTACTGACTGGAGGTAATTCGTATCAGTAACAGTAACACTAGTAGTACATTGTACTTGGTAGCAGTTGTCTTAATAAAATACCAGTAAATATACAAGCACAAAGTTGCAATTGTTGTTTACCTGTTAAAAGAATCATTAAAATATGTTGAAATAAAGAGAGAGAGAGTGAAAGAGGAGGAGGAGGAGGAAAGCAATAACAGACAGAGCTGTTGGCAGTTTAGATGTCTTGTCTCCTGATGTAGTACTGCCTGACTTGCTGTCTACTGCAGCTTTGAATGAGTGAGAGTGAAGGCCATTAGCTGGTTTACTGGAGGCAGCTTGACAGTAGTTCCACACTCCAATACTTGCTCTCCATTGAGAGACATCAATCATCTTGTAATTATTAGTAAAGTATAAACTTAAATAAACTATAATATGCTTACCTCTATCACTGTTAATGATCAACTGTTGTAAGATAAAGAAATGAAAAGACACAGTCAATATAAAAAAGAACAAGCTAAGCCAATTGATTTGTGCTGTAGTTGCAAAAGGGAGTGGCTCAATGAAGCCCCTCCTTCATTAAAATGTCTGTTACTTGACACTTTTCTTTTTTGAAGACAGCATTAGACAGGCAGTGCTACCATTGATGTATGATGTTAGAACTAGATCTATATCTATAGAACTGAAATATACAATGTAAAAAGTAAAGAGATAGATAGAGGGAAGAGTGTGGGGAGTTTCATTGCAAATTTAAAATGACTCGGGAGGGCATGTTGCTAAAGTTTTGTAACAATCAAGTTTAAGTATTGCACCTACCACCTAAAAGGAACGTGCTATAGTACTGGGTATATTGCATGGTATTTTATCAAAACTGCATTCTTCATTTTTATTACGATTCTGGTGTACATGTACATGTATGTTCTCTGTTGTATCATTATTTTTAATAATGACATTAATTGTAAAAATTAATAGTTATTATGTACATATGTATGTTTGTGCTTTTAATAAATTTACATTATTATTATTACTTTATTACTTTATTCTACAGTTGATGAATACTGTACTGAAGGTAAAGCTCTGTGGTCAGTATCTGATGATGGACAATTAAGAATATTTGACATTAGAAATAAAACAATGGTAAGAAGAAGGAATGAGAGAAAAGAGGAGAGAGCATACATGTAATTCATTGTACAATCAAAATCGGATTTTGGCAAAATTTTGCCAAAATTGAAAACAGCAAGTTCTCCATTTTTATTACATTTCCTGATGCATATACATGTACTTATGTTGTGTAGAAAGTTTGAGAACATTCCAATTAAAATTAAATTTTTTACGAATTTTTAAAGTTATTAAAAAATTGGGCAAAAGTCCCTGTACTATAGTACAGGGTCATTGGCCAAATTTTGCCAAAAATGAAAGGGAGAAAATTCTCCATTTTAATTACATTTCCTGATGCATATACATGTACTTATGATGTGTAGAAAGTTTGAGCTGATTCCAATTAAATTTTGAATTTTTACGAATTTTTAAAGTTGGTCAAAAATTAAGCCAAAGTCCCTGTACTATAGTACAGGGACTTTGACCTATAATTTTGCCAAAAGTAAAAACGAGAGAATTCCCCAGTTTATGACATTTCCTGATGCATATACATGTACTTATGTTGTGTAAAAAGTTTGATCTGATTCTGATCAAAATTAGACTTTTTACAAATTTTTAAATTACTCAAAAATCAGGCAAAAGTCCCTGTACTATAGTATAGGGTCATTGGCCAAATCTTGCTGAAAATGAAAAGAGAGAATTCTCCATTTTTACAATTTTTATGTGATGCATATACATGTACATGTTATCAATAATTACATTATAGCTAATAGCTTCATGTGTTATAATTATGTCCATTATATTAATTGATAGATCAGTAATTATGTTCATAATGATCCTGCTCCTTTAATGAGAGGAGTCACCATTGATAGTGAGAATAAACTAATCATTGGAAATGAAAATGGAGAACTTATACTACTGGACTTAAGACATATCAAGTAAGAGAAAGAGAGAGGGAGGGAGGGAGGGAGAGAGGGAGGGGGAGGGAGAGGTCCAGTAGATAATGCTTCCAGTGAACTGTATTGTATGTTTTTACAGGTCACCATTAAAGACAATGAGATTATCATGATCATCATCACTAAGCCTGAGAGTATTAGGCTGGCATTTTTTGAGCATAATAGAGCCTTTATCATGTACTTGCTATTTTATAAAGAACTATATGCCTTGGTGACTGTGAAAACAAGGTTTTTAAAGCAAAATTTTGGTCCATGAAGTAAAAGTATCATAACTAAGCTTTTTCTTTTTGTTGACAGTGGAAATATGTATACACACATATCAGAAAGGGTGCGTATTTTAAGGTTTTTGAAGCATTGCTACATTAATTTTCAAAAGTATGTATTTTTGAAAAATAATTTTGAGAATAATAGCAATGAATTGAAAAGAATAATTTAACAATCATTAGGAACTGAAGCATAGCATAATTACAGAAATTGTGAGCATAATATTCTCAGGCCTAATCATCACCAATATGTTCACTGTGTTATAATAGTAATAAAGTATTAGTAGGACACAGTAAGTGACACATACTCCCTCCTCCTCTTTTCTTTCCTAAGTTCTTTTATATTTTATTTATATTTTATTGTTTCTTATTTACTGCAGAGAATGGGGTGTGCATTAATTGGAGTTATAATGATGACACATTACT